ATAATTTTCTGACCTCCAATAATGAACTACTGTATTACTTTGTATTTGGATAGTAGGTATAAACTTTTGGAATCAAAATTAGAATCCACTCTTAAGAAGTCTCTTGAAATAAAAGAAGAAAAAATTGCTGCTTTAGAAGCTCGATTAGAAGAATCCACGAATTATAACCAGCAATTGCGCCAAGAACTTAAAACAGTAAGTGATTTTCTTGGAAAGAATTTTAAGGATCATTTATTATATAAATATTTGGACAGAAAAATATAAAGTAGAAAATAAAAATATAAAACATTTTATTGATATTTAGTCTATTCCTTTTTCATAAACTTGAGAGTTTTCTTTTTTTTTTTTTTTTTTTTGAGACGGAGTCTCGCTCTGTCACCCAGACTGGAGTGCAGTGGCGTGATGTCGGCTCACTGCAAGCTCCGCCTCCCGGGTTCACGCCATTCTCCTGCCTCAGCCTCTTGAGTAGCTGGGACTACAGGCGAGTTCGAGAACAGCCTGGGCAACATGGTGAAATCTCGTCTCTGCTAAAAATACAAAACTTAGCCAGGCATGGTGGCACACGCCTGTAATCCCAGCACTTTGGGAGGCCGAGACGGGCGGATCACGAGGTCAGGAGATCGAGACCATCCTGGCGAACACCGTCTTAAACAGATCTCTGTCATATGAATATGGTATAGCTTATTCAGTGCTATTTCATGTGTGTGATATCCTGCATGCTGTTAGGGATATATCAGAAGTGTGTGGGTGGAATGAGGAAGAGGCAGGCTTATATTATTGGGAAAAGCTCTCATTGTGATACTGACATTTTACTCTGTCACTCTTTCCTATTGAGGATCCAGGGAAAATTCTGCTAAGCAAAATATGACAGCACCTGATCTCATAAATTTGAGGTCTTTTCTAGATCTGTTTTCTTTTGATATTTGGAAGTATTCAGTGAAGTAAGCAAGCAAGGCAGAGGTAACTGTTTATTTTCCCTAAGGAAGCAAATCAAAATATAAGGGACTTTCCCATTCCACAGGGTTGGTAGATGGTAGATTGGTAGAGTCATGTTCTGATTTATTCACCCTTTTATTATCTCTGCAGTGCCCCAGGAGTGGTCTCAAGGTTAACTGAATACTTAGACTGACAAGATTACTATAGGCTACATTTAGAATCATTCTACTCAGAACACTATAAGAAATACAAATAGACATCAGGGCCGTGTCAGTCCATCCTCTTCACGTAGTTGTCTGAGAATAAGCTTTCCACCAGATGGTTTACGTATAAGATAAGATTCACGTTGGGTGTGTGCAGGAGCTTTCCTGGCTTTGAATCCTCATGCTTATAGTAGTGATTACCTCTTGCAGCAACTCCAAAGGTATAGATTTAAGATCCCCACAGTGCACATGCCAATTATAGGAGGTGCTATACTCAGAGAAGTTCAGAGAGAGGGCTGCCTATTGGTCTTTAAACTTCTCCTAGTCATTTTTTTCAATAAGCAATATTATCTAGTAACATAGAATGTTCCAATTTTTTTTCACTATTTGCTGACACCATTGCTGCTATTTGTCACAGACATTGCCATGGAACATACATTGTTACAGAATAAGTTTTACTTATTTTTCATCCAGACATTCTCAGAGCCAGAGAATAAATTTTAGAACTGTGTCTAGTTAACCAAAGGGATTATTTAAAAAAAAAAAAAAAAAGCGCGCCACAACACACACCACACAACACATTAACCTGCTTTTTGTCCTGATTTTTTACCCCCCTTAGCTGTATCACTGAGTTGGCAAATAAAATCAACTTCATGAAGCTACTCAACCAGAAATTAGTGGGTTTGGGTATGAGTTGTGTACGTGTGTTTCAAGTAGATATTTAAAATGCCATCACTGGGCCGGGTGCCAGTGGGCATGCCTGTAATCCCAGCACTTTGGGAGGCCAAGGCAGGCAGATCATTTTAGGTTGGGAGTTCAAGACCAGCCTTGCCAACATGGTGAAACCCTGTCTCCACTAAAAATGCAAAAAATTAGACAGGCGTGGTGGTGGGCATCTGTAATCCAGCTAGCTACCCAGGAGGCTGAGGCAGGAGAATCACTTGAACCAGGTGGCAGAAGGTTGCGGTGAGCCGCGATCGTGCCTCTGCACTCAGTCTGGGTGACAGAGTAAGACCCGGTCTCAAAAGCCATCGCTGACTTCCACTGTCAGCTTTTTAGACATAACTGTTATGGACTAGCTTCTTGCTGTGTATTCAACTGAATTTATATTGTTTTAAACTTTTAATACTATATGTGAAGAAGTATTCCTCTTTAAGATAGACTGTGGAAAGTTAAATACGAATAGTATAAGGGTTAAAGTAACCACTAAATACGTTATAACAAAGAGATATAGGTAATATGACCAAAAAAGGGAGATAAAATGGACTCATAAAAAATAAATCCAGGTTAGGCACAGAGGCTCATTCCTGTAATCCCAGCACTTTGGAAGGCTGAGGTAGCAAGATCGCTTGAGCGCAGGGGTTTGAGACCAGCCTGGGCAACATAGGGGAAGATCCTGTCTGTTAAAAAATCCAAAAGGCAAAAAGAAAGAAGAAACCAGAGACAAAGTACAGATTGGACAAATAGAACAACAATAGTAGGATGGCAGCTTTAAACTAAAGTATGGCAATAACTATATTAGATAAAAAAGGTCTAAACACTCCAGTGTTAAACAAGCAGAGATTAATAATTAGACAAAAAGGCAAGGACCCATCTATATGCTACCTATGCAGAAATACCTTGATGGAAAAGATATATCATTCTAGCACTATCAAAAAATTGCTAGATTGGCTATATTAAATGCTGGCAAAGTAAATTTTAGTGCAATAAATAGCACCAGAGCTGAGTAGTTCGTTACATAATTACAAAGGGTCATTCCAGCACAAAGATAACAAGGTTAAATGTTTATGCATCTAATAACAGAGGTACACCTAGTAACAGAGCCTGCAAAATAGATGAAGCAAATATCTGTGACTACATGGAAGAAAGACAAATCCACAATTACAATTAGAGAGTTTAATACTCATCTCTCAATAATTGGAGAATAAGTAGAAAAAACTTCATCTGGCCGGGCGCGGTGGCTCAAGCCTGTAATCCAGCACTTTGGGAGGCCGAGACGGGCGATCACGAGGTCAGGAGATCGAGACCATCCTGGCGAACACCGTGAAACCCCGTCTCTACTAAAAAATACAAAAAACTAGCCGGGCGAGTGGCGGGTGCCTGTAGTCCCAGCTACTCGGGAGGCTGAGGCAGGAGAATGGCGTAAACCCAGGAGGCGGAGCTTGCAGTGACTGAGATCCGGCACTGCACTCCAGCCCGGGTGACAGACGCGAGGACTCCGTTCAAAAAAAAAAAAAAAAAAAAAGAAAAAACTTCATCTACCAGATAAAGGACTTCTATAAACAGCCTATAGACTAATCACTTTCCCCTTTTGATCAGGAAGAATACAAAGATTTTGCTCTCACTGTTACTATTAAATGCTGTACCGATGATCCTAACCAGTATACTAAGATAAGAAGAAATGAAAGGCATACAGATTTAAAAGGAAGAAGTAAAAATGTCTTTCTTCACATGTGACATGACTATATTTACAGAAAACCCTGAGGAATTTACAGAAAAATGTCTACAGCTAAGGTGAACTAATCAATGTCACAGGATAAAAGTCAATATATAAAAGTCTATTTTATTTCTCTATATTAGCAATGAAAGATTGGAAAATGAAATATAAAAAAACACCATTTATAATACTATGAAATACTTACGGATGAATTTAAGGAAATGTGTGCAAGAACTCTACTAGAAACACCAAAGGAATACCTCAGTAAATGGAAATAAGAACCATGTTCAGGAATTAGAAGACTCAATATTGTTAAAATGGCAGATTCCCCATATCGATCTCTTGATTCAACATAATCCCAATTAAAATCCCAACAGGCAGATTTACAAGATGATTCTAAAATGTATATGGAAATATTGATCAAATATTAGTGAAAATTGGGAGCAACTGGAACTGTCATGCATACTGATGCAAATATAAGATGTTATAACTAATTTAGCAGGCAGTATGGCAGTATCTCAAAAAGTCCTAGACCATGGCCCAGCATGGTAGCTCATGCCTGTAATCCCAGCACTTTGGGAGGCTGAGGCAGGCGGATCACTTGAGGCCAGGAGTTCAAGACGAGCCTGGCCAACATGGCGACACACTGTCTCTACTAAAAATACAAAAATTAGCTGGCCGTGGTGGTACACACCTGTAGTCCCAGCTACTCAGGAGGCTGAGCCACGAGAATCACTTGAACCCAGGAGGTGGAGGTTGCAGTGAGCCAAAATTGCACCTCTGCATTCCAGCCTGGGCAACAGTGTGAGACTATCTCAAAAAAGAAAGAAAAAGAAAAGAAAAAGAAGGTGATAATGCTACTTCTCTTTACTCAAGGAAAATGAAAACATAGATAAATGAATTTTTTTAGCAGCTTCATCATAATCAAAAAACTGGATATAATGACCAAAAGAAAAAAATTACTGATGTACTCAACACATGGATAAAGCTTAGAAATATACTCAGAAACACACACACACACACAGATTATATACACTGATTGTATTTGTGTGAAATTTTAGTATAAGCAGAACTTTTATGAAAGAAATGAAAACAGTGGTTGCCTGGTGCATAGAGTAATGGAAGTGTTCTGTCATGTTGATATATGGGTTATATAGGTGTTTGCCATTCTCAAAATTACCGAATTACACTTAAAATCTGTACATTAGCAACTTCATGCAAATTATAACTCTATTTTTAAAGATTACATTATCTTTGGGAACTGTTGAAAATTTTAAATTTGAATTCATAACATAATTCACAATATTTTAATTAGCTCTAAATTACTTTGTTACAGTGATTTATTTTTATCTAGACTCTGTATTCATTTCCTCTCTGAATATAAAGATTTTGATTAATGATACATAATCATTTTTAATACTTACTTGAAAGAACAATGGCTTTAAACTGAGAAGCCTTCGGCCGGGTGCGGTGGCTCACGCCTGTAATCCCAGCACTTTGGGAGGCCAAGGTGGGTGGATCGCTTGAGGTCAGGAGTTCGAGAACAGCCTGGGCAACATGGTGAAATCTCGTCTCTGCTAAAAATACAAAACTTAGCCAGGCATGGTGGCACACGCCTGTAATCCCAGCTACTCGGGAGACTGAGGCAAGAGAATGGTTTGAACCTGGGTGGTGGAGGTTGCAGAGTGCCAAGATCGCACCACTGCACTCCAGCCTGGGTGACAAAGTGAGACTATGTCTCAAAAAAATAATATAAAATGAGAGGACTTGAGTTTTATTCTCAGCTCCCCTTCTTAATAACTGCATATGTTTATAGCCTTTCTAAGCCTAGAACAAAGACCTTGTGGGAAATTCATGTAAAATAGAGACTGGAAATGATGCCACTTATCTATTGTTATTAGGGTGTTAAAAGTAAAAACAAAACAAACAAAACCCGGAAACTAGGATCATAGGGTACCCATTAGATGGCTTGCGAAACTTGACATTACATTCTATCTTGGCATCTTTTTAGTCTCACCTCATTATTTTCTAACTCAGCGGTAGCATTATTAATTGTTGAGTTGCAGGCTTTCTTAAGTTGCGCATTAGATGTTGACTATAAAACATTTCTATCCTTGCCTTAATGCAAAGGTTGGGGTTAACTTGAAATTTATTATAAGAATCTCCTAGGATAAAGTAGTGCTTCAAGATAGTTTAATAATTCAAGATAAGTATAATAATAGTAAATTTGAGTTGAAGAGAAAGAGTTATTAAGTTAAATCTGGCAAATTTGGTCATATATGATGAGTAAGTTGGTCATGTATGATGAGTTAACAATCCTTGGATTGTTCGCAATCCAAGGATATATCTTCTCTAGGATTTTCTAGTGTGATTATAATCTACTTTAAGAGAGCCAACTCAAAACTAAAAAATCCTGAATACGATATGTCCTTAAAATTAATAAAGTGTCAAATCTTTGTGCTTTACATAGACATCTCTGTGAAATTTCTAAATTGGTTACAGATAGCTCTAAAAAGAATTGTTAGTCATTAGCAACATATCTATATCCACTCTTATCCAGGGGCATTTGCACGACAAACAATAGGATTTGACATTACTCTGGCACATAAACAGAGTACGTTTTATATTTCTAGGAGGAAACGATTTGCATTTTAAAAAGCACAAATCATACATGTTATTCATCACATTTAAAAGTATATTGCCTCTCATATTTACCAGATCAGCCCAGAGTCAAATTAATTGTGAGAAATGTAACTGTGGTGATTTTTTTCTCCCCATTAAAATATTTTAAATAAAATTTTAGGTGAAAAAAAATTATGAAGCTCTCAAACAGAGACAAGATGAGGAAAGGATGGTACAGAGCTCTCCTCCAATATCTGGTGAAGACAACAAATGGGAGCGAGAAAGTCAAGAAACAACTAGAGAACTTCTGAAAGTTAAAGACAGATTAATTGAAGTAGAAAGAAATGTAAGTATTTTTTAATTTTAGTAGGAATCATTTTTTTTAGAAATAGAGGATCACTGGAGAAATTTATCTTAGATATATTGTCTAATATTTAAACAATTGATGGCACTTAATAAGAAAATTCTGGTCATATAGTCCTTTTTCTATTTGTTCGTACCTCAGGGGCCTTTCTTTTTGCTTCTCCTGCCTGGAACATATGACTGGCTTCCCTCAGCATTTGGGTGCCATATCATATGTCCTGCAGAAGGTCTTCCCTGACTCCTTCCCCCAATAAAGTTGTTATCCCCAACTTAAACTATTCACTATTGTTCCATTGCTTTAGTTTTTTCATAGCACTTTTCACAGTGAAATTAAATTTCATATTCATTTATGAAAGCAGGTAATTTGTCTTTCTTTTTTTTTTTTTACCACCGTGCCTTTAATATCTAGAATAGTGCCTGGTATGTAGTAGACACTTAACAAATATTTGCTAAATTAGTTCAATATATACTTGACAGTAAACAACAAGCAAACAAGCTGAACAACAAATAGTTACCCTTCAAAAGATGAATAAACTTAAGGAACTTACACAATAGCAAGTAAAATAGTTGTGGTGGTGTTTTTTTAAATTTAACACAAAAATAGTACCTTTAATTAAAAACTAAGCAATAAAACCAAAAAATAACCCCCCACACCATTGATTTCTGCTTTCTCATTCAAAAAGAATCACTATGAACAGTTTATCTTCCTAGAAAATTATTTTGTCATTTATCTGTATATAGAAGTATATTTCTTTTACAAATTTATACCTGCGGGATCATGCTATACAAAATTCCTATTTGCATTTTCTGTTAATATTATCTTGGAGATCTCTCAATTTTAGCAGATGTATGTGTATTTCATTTTGTTTAATGGCTACCTATTATTCCATAGTGTGAATGTTACCATAATTTACTTAAATAAATCTCACATTTCTCTACAATTAGGTTTTTTGTTTTGTTTTGTTTTGTTTTTGAGATGGAGTCTCACTTTGTTGCCCAGGCTAGAGTGCAGTGGCATGATCTCGGCTCACTGCCAGCTCCGCCTCCCGGGTTCACGCCATTCTCCTGCCTCAGCCCGCCACCACGCCCGCCCGGCTAATTTTTGTATTTTTAGTAGAGATAGGGTTTCACTGTGTTAGCCAGGATGGTCTTGATCTCCTGACCTCGTGATCCACCTGCCTCGGCCTCCCAAAGTGCTGGGATTACAGGTGTGAGCCACTGCGCCTGGCCCATTTAGGTTATTTTTAAACATGTTCATAGAATGCTAAATTGCTGACAGTGAAATTGCAAGGCCAAAGGATATATACGTGTGTGTGTGTGTGTGTGTGTGTGTTTAATTGATATTTTCTATTAGTCTTTAAAAATCCCATCAATTTTCTTTCTTTCTTTTTTTTTTTTCTTTTCTGAGACAGGGTCTCACTCATCTCCCAGGCTGGAATGCAGTGGCAAGATCATAGCTCACTGAAGCCTCATCCTCCAAGGCTCAAGTGATCCTCTTGCCTCAGCCTCCCAAGTAGCTGGGAGCACAGGTGCACACCACCACACCCAGCGAATTTTTGTATTTTTTGTTGAGGTGGCGTCTTACTATGCTGCCCAGACGGGTCTCGAACTCCTGGCCTCAAGTGATCCACTCTCCTCAGCCTCCCAAAGTGCTGGGATTGCAGGTGTAAGTCAGCACACCCAGCCTAAAAATCACATCAACTTTCAATCCCACTAAAAGAGTATACCTATCTTTCCATATTAACACTGGATAGTAGTACCTAGTGCTTTAATTTTTGTTAAAGCAATAGGAGAAAATATTTTAATGTGTACATTTAAAATTATGAGTTAGGCATTACACATTTTTCATGTATTTATTGGCCATTTATAAATACCTATTTTTAATCAGTGATATATATACCTATATTGCTTGGATTCATAATTACAGTTTAGAAAATTGAGCTGGCATATGAAGTTCTGTAAGGTGAATCTTTTTTTTTTTCTTGTAGACTTCCTTTATAAATTTCCATTGGAAAAAAATTACTTCGTTTCATATTTTAGATAATGGGGTTATAAAGACGGTCAGCCATATAATAGGCTGGTAATTTTTGTGTTTGTCAGTATTTGCTAACTTCTTTCTTTTCCATTGTAAATTTTTTCCTGCTGTAAGATACCCTCTCAGCTATCTCTTCTCTTCATTATAGACTATAGGAATTTTTTTTATTCCTAGAGACACCTGGAATAATCGGTAGAGCTTGTACAATTTAGTTTCTAAAGTGCTAAACTACAATAGTATTTCACATATATATGTGAAAAATGGTTCACCTCTTTGTGCTGAGATGGTATATAAATACGTCAGTACTGTCAGTATTCCATTTTATTTTTTCTAGTATACATTTTTTCATCCTTTTTATTTGAACAAATGAACAAAAGAGAAATACAAAATCATAACGCATCTTAAAGCATTTTGTTTCCTCAGCTTCAGTTTTATAGTATAATATGTGGGTCAAATCCTGACCTGCCTTTTACACAGTGACATGCAGTGTATATAACATAAAGCCAATAAAGTGAATGTTATATTTACATATAGATATGTTAAGAGTGATCTGTTGTGATTCAGTTGTTAACTTTTTATGCATACTGCAGGGTAGACCAATTATGACCTTTAGTATATTAAAGTTTTATTTCTGTTTTCTGGAGGGTTCTTTGTACTTTGCTGTTGCTGATTTTTTATGAAATTTAATTTAGAAATAATCCTGAAAAGATTAATGACAAGTATTTTAAAATATAATAATCATTGATTCGCATAGTAGTTCATTTGTTATAAAATTGAAATATGGCCTTACGGAAAAACGGAAAATGTTATGTTTTGTTTGGAAATGCTCCAGGAGTCTTATAGTTGAAGTAGAGTTTTTAATCAGCATTTTATATCGTGAGAAAAATAAGAAAATATCTGCGTTAGGTCTGTTGTGGACTGCAAATTTTAAACAGATGGTTAAGATTGTTCCTGTAAACCTGCTTCCCTTTGAAATATTTGTGTTTGGAAATTACTTAGTTTTGCACTATCTCTGGGACCACCACTCACTTAGGTATATATTTGCCTTTGGGTAAATTAGAAAAGATAGATCTCCATGGTTGGACACAGCCCCATTTATTCTAGTCATTCTGGGAACCTTCAAGCAGTATTAAAACCATACAACTGACAATTCCTTTCTAGTGTTTGTGTTAATAAATATATTTAGAATAGGATATTTTATTTTTAGGATATTATAGTGCAGAAAGACACAAGCACAATATTAAGGTTTTAGTATTATTGCCTTCTTTCTGATGAATGTCTGTTTACAATTTGGGATGGGGAAAATGTTTTTTTTTTTCTCTTTTAAGATTGTTGGGGTTTTATGGATTGTACTGCTAATAAATACTCATAGTATAAAATTCAGTATATTATAGAAATATGTTTAGTATTGCTATTGTTGTTAATATGTTTGGTTTCGGTTTTTGTTTTTTAAGAATGCTACACTGCAAGCAGAGAAGCAAGCGTTGAAAACTCAACTGAAGCAGCTTGAGAC